AGAGACAGGGAACCCCCTAGCGTTTGTATAGCCAGACTAACAAGCTTCAAGTTGACCAAGAGGCCCTGCCTCAATATATAGAGAGTGACTGAGGGAGACATCTAATATCAGCTTCCATATGCACACGCCTGTGCACACACACGTGCATATGCATACAAGAACACACTATATACACATATGTATGCAAAAAAGCTTACTGGCATGACTGAGGATGTATGCAGAATAGACCACGGATCCTAGATGCTACAGGTAGCCTGGAGGTTATGGGGCCTGTCTGTGAACCCTTGCTGCTTGGAGGTGTCACTGCTCACTCTCCTCCTCCCAGGGATCCTGAGACTACTTTCAGCAACGGTTTCATCTGTAGCAGTATGTCTAACAATGGTGGTAGAATGCTCTCCTGCATACAAGAAGCAGACGAGAAACCCTGGGCTCCACCCCAGCACCACCAAAACTGAGCTTAGTGGCACATTCCTGTGTGTGGTTCCAGCACTGGGATTAATGGCACATTCCTGTGTGTGGTTCCAGCACTGGGAAGGTAGAGGCAGGAAGGTTAGGAACCCAAGTTTGTTCCTTGGTTACACAGCAAATCCGAGGCCAGCCTGGGCTACATGAGATCCTGTCTCCAAACCAAACAACCCCACCACATCTTTTTTTAATAATCATGGATCTTGAAATGCCATTTCTTTGTGCTTAGACAGGTGTGGTGTTGTAGGGAATGGTGTCTTAGGGAGCTAAGTGGAAAGCAGCTGTTTGAATTTAGTAGTAACTTAATGCTTAATTTTCAAGCCTCATGAGCTTCTTGAGTATTTTGGTTTAAGGGGATGGCATATTTGTGGGGGCTTCTGCGGTTCTCCTGGATGTTATGAGGTAGGACCACGTTAACACAGAAGTCCCGGCATTTTTCCTCGTATGTTATTGCAGATTCACCTGATAGTTACACCAATAAGACATGGGGTAGAAATGTTAATAGTTACCTATAGGTTAGGACACTCGCTATGTGAACGCTTCCCACCCATTCCTTCTGGAACGCACCATGTGTGACTGGAGATGCAGGAGAGGCCCTTCCTTCCCCAGCCCAACCATTGGGATTGCAGTGGCTGGATTTGGGAATCTGGGTTTGGAGTGCAGGGTAATTACTCTGTCAGAGCATGACCAGTGAATGTAACAAGCTAGGTAAAGGAGAATACCCGCCCCTCCCCACCTGCAATGCAAAGCTGTTGAATGTCAAATCGGGTTTGCAACTTGGAAGTGAAAACGTTTCCCTCCACTTGTCCTCTGGTGGAGCAGGCTCACACCTGTTCATTCAGCTGTTCGTTAGTGAAACGATGCAGATGCGAGAGAAACTGCCTTGGACGGTCAGGACATTTTCAGCATTGTCTTCCCATTCCCTGGCCAGCTTTCGGGCAGACGGCCCGCCCACAGAGCCTGTGGCCTCTCCCTGATGTAGTAAAGTCTCTCCTACTCAGGGGAGCCACTTGCCACACAGGAAACAGGAAAGTTTTGATGGACAGAGAGAGGCTAAGGACTCCCTGTGTTCCTTTAACCAGGAGCTGGTGTTCTTTTAGATAGCTTGTGGAATGAATGGGAAAGGAAATGGCTTTGTAGCATCGAGGTTGGCTGGAGAAGATGGCTTACACATCACAGCCAAGAACAAACCTTTGTGCTGAGAACTTGGCTCTGCAGTTAAAGCGTGTGCTGTCTGCAAATTAAGACCCAAGTCCCAGTCCCTAGAACCCAAGCAGAAGGTTGGGAGGGCATGGCGGCCTGCCTACTATCTGCATGCTGGGAAATGGAAAGGGGAACCGTTTCTTGAGTAAGCTGGCCAGACTAGTCACAGGGATGGGCTCTCTAGGTTCAGTAAATGAAAGATCAAAGAACACAGAGGGACGAACGATGAACTTTAACCTCAAGGAAAGGTGAGAAACAACCTGACCTCTGGCCTTCCTGTGGCTGCCTGCTATCAACTTAGTGACTGAGCCGGCTGAGTTCTAAGGACTAGGAAAGGACTGTGAGGGATTCCTACAAGCCTCTTTCTCCACCCATAGAATTTAAAAGGTAAAATGCTTTAGAGAGTACCCCACATTCTATAAAACTTTTTAGAAATCACATAAAATAGGACTCATCTTACATGTCTGCCAGTTATTACTTAAAATACTGCAACAACAGAGCATTGTACAGACCCTCAGTTTGATCACCTATCCAAAAGGTGTAGCCATGCTTCTAGACAAACGAGAGCGTTTTTGTTTTTTCATATTAAATCCATGTTATTGGGGCACGGAATGTTTCCCTCTCCCTGCATAACTGCACAGTGATTAAATATTGACTAAGAGCCAGCATTTGACAGCCAGCAGCCTCACCCTGGTAAACGCTGATGTGTGAGGCCCAATGTAAATAAAGAACCATCCCTGCAGGGCCCAGCCTTTTTCCTTGGAAAGTGGGCAAGCCCTGAGTTATGCATGAGGTGTCAAATTCAGCTGCTCCAATAGAAGGGTGTCATTTGAGACAAGCAATTCCTTAAAAAGCAACCCAATTCTGTCAAAAGAAAATATATTTTCCTAATCAATTTGAATAATAAAGAGAATGTTAGTGAGTTTTAACTGCACGTCCAGGGTACCCACTGAATGGCACTGTTTGTGGGAACAAAAGAGCTCTCCGTCACCGGGACTGCTCTTGCTTTCAGAGACCTTGCTTGGTTGGTTTATATCAAGCAGACTGCTTGAAATCACCAGTCTTACTTCTGGGCATGAATATTTGATTGGAAACTTTCGATGCATCTTTCTGTCGTGTTTATTGTCTGTGTACTTTCTTGTTTCTGTTGTAAGTAGGTTGACCATTTAAATCACAGAAAAACAAGGTTGTGTTATCTAATTTCTTTCTTTTTTGAGATTATAATATAATTATCGAAAGTAAGTTTCTTTGCAATTATAATATAATTCCAGAAAATAAGTTTTCCTTCAGTATTTTGTCCCTGGTAATAAGGTTTATTATAAAGATCTAATAATTTTTTATTGTAGTGATTTTTTTACTGTGTACATACATTTGTGTGTGTGTGTGTGTGTGTGTGTGTGTGTGTGTGTGTGTGTGTGTGTCTTCATGTGGAAGCAAGGGTCAGCCTCTAGCAATTCTGTTTGCTGCCTGGTCAGCAAGCTCCAAGGTCCTCTTCCCATTGGTTCTAGAGATGGAAATGTTGGCACAGCACACGGTTTACAGACCAAGCTGTCTCCTCAGCTCTGTAATAAGCACCTAGAAGACTAACTTAACAGTTGTTCCTGAGAATGGTTTAAACACAGGTCTCCTTCTCAGTAAGTATAGTCATCTAAGCGTCTGTATCTTATTCCAGCAAACTTTTGTCTGAGCTGCCTGGACCACCTGTGTGGTGACAGCTGTCTGAACATCAGTACCTCTAAGGTCTCCTGAACCTTGCAAAAGCTGTATGAGAGGTGAGGTTTTGCACACCTGTAAACACTTGGAATGCAGAGGCAGGATGGTCAGCAGTGTGAAGCCACCCTGAGCTACACAGGGAGACCTTGTCTCCCGAAATCCAAAACTGGGCTCAGTAGCTCAGTGGTAGAGTGCTGCCTGGTGTATAGTGACCAAGCCTTGGGGTTGATTCTCAGAACCACAAACTTTTTAAATTGTATCTCTCAAATGATTCTATTTAGTCAAGATGGACTCTTACATACTTGAGGGGTTTGAAAAATAATATACATTATGGTATTGTTAGCATATACCTATCCAGAAATTTGTTTTTCTTAAATGTTGATGATTCCATGGCTCTTTGAAATGCCCGAGGCATGTACTGAGTGAGAATGAAAGTTGCATGAGAGTAAGTGTGGTTTAGCTCACCCTCAGTGAGAAGCACAGAGGTGAGCCCCAGAGACGGCAGTCAGTGTCTGCGCTGTTGCAGACGCCAGGCCCACAGTGAGTGAGGCCTGCCGCATATGCAGCCCTTCTCTTCGCAACGACCTCTTCATCCTTCAGAAAACCTGAAGTTTTCTTTTGGGGGGGATGGGCAATAGATTGATGTGTGTAATAAGGACAGGTTTTAAAATTTTTTTTCATTCTTGATAGTATAATTACATCATCTCCTCCCTCTTGTCCTCCCTCTAACCCCTCCCATGTACTGTCCCTCAGTCTCTTTCAAATGACCTCTTTTTCTTGTGTGTGTGTGTGTGTGTGTGTGTGTGTGTGTGTGTGTGTGTGTGTGTGTGTGTGTTCCTAAATACAACCTGCTCGGTCTGTGTAATGTTACTAGCATCTGTGTTTCCAGGACCAACCACTTGGTTCTGGATAACCAGTTGGAGTACTGGTCCCTGGGAAGATTGTTTCTCCTACTCTCAGCATTCCTGAGTTGCTTGTTTTCTTGACCGGAACAAGGATGACACTAATAGACATGCCATCCTGGGAGGAAGCTGGCGAGGACAGTTTTGAAGACAACAGAGCACTCCCAGAGGGAGGGGCAGGGGAGGGAGCGTAGCAGCCCGGCTGGTCAGCTTTGATGCTGACGGATGAGAGAAGGCCTGCCTTTGGATCTGATCCTGTGTACACTGTCAGTGAAAGGATGCAGAGAAAAGACCCATGAAGATGCCGTAACTTCCACAAAGATAACCCGTCATCATGTGACAAATCGGAAGTGACTTGTTTTTAAATTTATCTCAGAGCAGTTCGGATACGGGTTGACTGGAGGTGATTTGCTGCTGGCTTCCAACCTGCTTGTATGGCCCTGCTTGGTCTCTGTGAACGCTAAAGGCTGCCGGCCCCATCTCTACGTCTCCAGTTAGTCACCAGCCATCTCAGATGTTCCCAGGGGCCGGGTCTTTGTGTTCCTCTTTGAACCTTGGCTGACCCTGAACCACGCCTGGGCTGCTTAAGAGTCTTGTGACAGCTGTGAAATGCTAAGTGAATTGAGTGGGGATGGGTGTGTAGCCTAATAAGGGGTCTTTTCTTGTTTTCATAGTACCTTTTTAACGTGAGACTGGAAAACAGACTTAACAAAATAATTCAATGTTCTTTTTTAATTAAACAATGTGCCTCCCAAGAGAACACTTTTGACCTTGAACAAGGTTCCCGAAACCTCAGCCTAAGGACTAACAGTGTTGGCGGTGTTTGTGCAAGCTCGAGTCCTCCCTCAGGCTGGCTGCCTTCATGTGCCCACAGCACTTGGCCAGGGTCTTCTCATTTGAGCCTGAGCATGGTCAGCCAGCACTGAGAACCTGGCGTAGCTTCACAGAAACCTGATTTAGGAGGAGGAATGAGGAAAATTAACCAAGGTATGCATTTACTCCTTTTTAATCATATATAATAGATAAAATTACCGTCCTGGACTAACATAATAACCTCATCAGGATGACTTTTAGTCTGCTGAAAACAGTCTTCAAAGCCTGGTCAACCCTGCTTTTTTTTTTTTTTTTTTTTTTTTTTGCTTTTATAGCTCCTTGACCTCCAGAAACTTGCAATGTAGAAGTTGTGAATTCTGTTCTGTCAGGAAACTACATTCTTTACCTTACGTATTATGGAAGGTACTAAAATACACTGCATTTTAAGGCTGAATTCTTAATGTCACTCTTCTAGAAGAGAAATGCACTAGTAAGAATCTACCCCAAGTGTTCTTTCTGGATATTAAGCCTGACAGAAGTGACAAGATGCAGCCACCACACCAACACACGTAAAACAGCGGGGCCAGTGGCCAGGAACAAAGCTTGAGGAGGGCCTGCTGAGTGCCAAGTGTTCCCCCACTTGTAAGAAATTAAACACGGGCACACTCAACACGTCCCTGGATGTGACTTCCTGTTGGCCCGTGTGTACAATCTGGAAGATTCCTGAGGAGAGGTTTATTGTCCACAGAGATCAAGTGGAGGTGTCTTCAGGGTTGGCTCTTCTCCAAGAAGCTCTTCTCAGGGCCAAATTATCTATTAATCTTTCTCAGTGAGTTTACCAAAAATATATGGGAGTTAACTAATTGTTGAACATATGGTACTGGGAAAAAAGAAAAGAGAATAAATTCCTGCTCTTAATGTAGATTACTTTAAATCCTGGGAACTCCCTCCCAGCCCCATATTAATCATGGTCCTCCAAAGAAACAGAACAAAAGTGTGCGTGCGTGTGTGCATGTGGTGTGTGTGTGTGTGTGTGTGAGTGTGTGTGTGTGTGTGTAAGAGGAGCAGGAGAGATGGACTTTAAGGAGTTGGTTTATGAAACGGTAAGCTGCTAAGTTCAGGCCAGTAGCAAGAGTTGACGCTGTATGGTGGGGTCCTTAGCTGAGTCTTCTCTTCTGTGACCTGCATTGTCTGTTTATCAGCAGAATGGCTGAGACTGACTATTGTATGGAAAGGAATCTTCTGTAGTGAAAGTCAACTGGTTTAAATGTTAATCATCTAAAGACACCTTCACAGAGATACCTTGCCTAATGTGTGACCAAACAGTGGCGACACTTCGGCCTAGTAAAGTTGCCACAGTTACTCATCACTCCCTACCTCCCTCCCCTCCTGCACCTACCTCCAAATAACAATGTCATTTCATTTAATGACTCTTAAGCTTGAGCACACATTAAGTATCCCCTGGAACTTTTGTCAGAAGCCTGTTGTAGATGGGTCCAGGAACTCATGGTTCTAACAAGTCCTGGGTGATGCTTACACTGCTGGCCCAGGAGCCACACTTGGGGAACCACTGGTACTCTGTGATCTGGGATCTGCACTTTCGCTTCCTGGCTCAGAAACTGATTTTGCGATCAGAGGAAAGTTAGGTTTCTTTCTCTAGGCGGCCCAGGTAAATCAAGCTTACACTGCCAATGCATAAGGCATCAGTGCCAGGTTGCTGATCTGCGGTAAGACGTAAAACCGCTGCTGCCACTACATGCCTGATAGCAGCAACTTTGAGAAGGGGCGAGTGGCTCATGGTTGCCAAGGTGTGGCCCTGCTGATTGTGAGACCGCGGTGACATCGTAGAGGCAGGGGCGTGTGGAGGACATGCCTACGCTGGGCAGGAAGCAGAGTTAGCAAACTGGGGACAGGAGTGGCCTTTGAGGACACCTTCAGTGACCTACATCTCCCAGTTTAGGGGCCACCTCCAGAAGTCTCCAGAGCCTCCAAAATAGTACCAGTGGCTGAAGAGCAAGTACCCAGTACTAAGTGTGAGGCCATTTCCTATCCACACAGCAGATGCCCCCACGAGCGTGGGGGCACAGCCCATCTCGGGCAGCTCTGTAGAAGCAGAGGAGTTGGGGAGTCAGAGTCAAGGAATAGCCAAGGTTTGAGAGTTTGCCACAACCACACCTACCACGGGGAGGAAGGATCACACTCCCCATACTCAGAGAGTAGACACCTCAGGTTTTACCGTTGGGAGATGAGGCATTCCTATCTGCTCTGAAAACTCCACTCAGCACTGGAGTTCAGAGTGCTGAGAATGGAAATGCTTTTGGTGAGTCACTAAAATGCTACCTTTTACAGGAATGCATGTGTAAGCATGTTCACGTGCGCGCACGCATGTGAGGCCAGAGGCCAACGCTTTCAGTCATCCTCAGTCACTCTCCTCAGCTTTTGAGTCAGGGCCTCTCACTGACCCTGCAGTTGGCGAGTGTCTGAATTGGGCAGCCAGCAAGCTCTAAGCATCCCCGTCTCCACCTCCACGCTGCTGGGACTCTTAGGCTCACACCGCCATACCCGGCTTTGACACGGTGCTGGAATCTGAATCCAAGACCCGATGCTGGCATGGCAAGCGCTTTAATGACCAAGCCATCTCCCCAGGCCCCTGACACTTTCTTTTACTTGTGTCACACTCTGTTTTCATGGAAAGTGAACTTGGGCAGCCTGAGAGTTTGTGATGTGTGTCCTTCATATGCTGGGTTTCCTTTTGTGGTTAGAATTTAAGTGAGTGCACAGTCTTTCCTTAAAAATTGACTCCCTCTTCACTTGCTTGTTGAGAAACTCTGAGGAAATATTTGTGTGCTTTGTGTCTTCAGTGTTTGCTGTGTCTGTTTAGAAGCTCCCTGCCTCTGTTGTGTCATTTTAAGATTTTCACATTATGTGTAGGGTTTCTTTCTTTTAAATTGAAAAAAACTGTGGGACCGATGGGCTGATAGGTTCAGGGGGCAAAGGCCCATGCTGTCAAGCCTGATGACCTCACTCTGGTCCCCAGGATCCACACGGCGGAAGGAGAGAACCAGCTCTGAGTCTCTGACCTCCGCTCATCATTTGTAGGCACCCACCCAGTAAACAAGTGTAATACAAATAATAAAAAATATTCTAGCCAAATTATGCTACTAAAATCTCATGTTTAAATGATGCGTTCTGTTTTTCTTTTCAAATCCTGAAGGCCTCTTCTTCATCCTGGAAAGTCCTCCTCGTGCATAAGGACAGACCTTTAGAATGGACTCTGAGCGGTCAGGAGCAGACTGAGCCTATGCTGCCTCTCACACTTTAATTCGATTAAAGGCCACTGCCTTTAATTTCTTGTACAGATTAGTGCGTAAACAGCCTTAGAACGTAGGAACACTTGCCCTTGGAGCTGTCTCTAGGTGACATGGACAAGATAGGGACCCCAGGGCCCTGAGTGTTGGATTCACACAGGCTCAGTGATGTAGAGTGAGGGCAGTGCAGCCGTATGGTTAGTTAACTGTGTCAGCCCGGGTGCTGGCAGCAAGCAGTAGCCGTGTTAAGGATTCCACTACAAGGCCAAGTGAAGGAAGGCCGAAAGCTGAAAAAGACCCTGAGCGAGCCCAGAGACACTGGCTGCTGGAGACTCTCGGCCACTGCTGCCAGGGCCAAGGCAATCGAGGGAAAGAGACGTGAGCAGGGTTTCCTTGGAACTCTGTCACGTGATTCAGGCCTCTCCTGCAGGAGGGACAGGCAGAGCCACAGTCCGAAGGGTTGTCCTCGGCTGGCATGCCTGTGGGGGCTGCAGAGCTGTCCCCTAGGCTCTCACACCACTCAGTCTTTCCCTGGCGTCTCAGGTGGGAAGGCCTGCAGGGAGCCAGGTGGCAGCAGAGCCCGGGACACCCAGACAGTCTCAGCATCCCTGAACAGGGGTCCTGCTCCTTCTTTGGTTCCCTGCTTCCTGTGCCAGGGTTTATCAGCCATATGCTCTTAGCTGGTGAGTGACAGGAGGGTCAGAGAAAGGAGGGAAGTTGTTGGTCATTTCAGTTAATTGATCGTTCCCTAGTTTAATAATAATATTAATGATGAACAGAAAAAATGTGAATGGCAGAGACTAGAGAGCTGTGTGGTTTGTGACTTTGTCAGACACTGGGATGCCTGTAATATTCTGATCTCACTTTCATACTGACGCCTTGTCCTAATCATAACTATTCTGTCTCTGTGGTCATTTCTTTGCCTGGAGATGGGGGTTGGGGGGGAAGAGGGGAGCAGGGAGGGAGAGAGACAGACAACCGTTTTTCCTTCTAAAGATCAGAATTCCACAGTTCTCGCTTCTTTTGCTACAGTTCCTTTGCTCGTTTCTAGGGATGACAGAGCTGGTACAGATGGTGCTCTCCCTGTCTCGTATCCAGGTCTTCTCAATAAGTCTTTATTGTGATCCTGTCAGATGCTGGGCTGTACCTCAGAGAGGAGAGGAGGAGCCAGAGGACCAGGTGGAGCACTTTGCTTTGAGCCCCAGCTGCGAGGACAAACGTTAGCACACACGGTTTGCCAAAGCATGGATTGAGGTGGAACCAGCATCAGTGTGGACCATCGTAAATGTTCTGTAGTAGCACAGGGAAACTTGTTGTTAATTATGAAAGCCTGGCCTTTAGCTTGTCCCCAACTAGCTTTCATAATCTACCTTGTGTCACATGCGTGGTTACATCTGCTCTGCATCGTGTGTCTGACTTCTTCAGAGCTCACTGGAGTCTCCTCACTTCTCTTCTTCCCAGAGTTCTCTCTTTTCCGGAAATCCTTCCTATCTTCTCCTGCCTAACTATTGGCCATTCAGCCCTTTATTACACCAATCACAGCAATACATTTCCACACAGTGTACAGATATCCCCCAACGATGTCCCATCAGTGGTAATGCCTTATAATTTTTATAACCATTCACAGTTTTAGTCCTGATACTTTACTCACTATTCAATCTAGAATTTTCGTTTGCTAGAATTTTTGCCTTTCAATCACACAATGGACATTTTATCTACTTACTCATTTTTATTATTTCCATAAAGAGCATAGGGTTTGTCCTGTTCTGTTGTTTACCTTTAGAAAGGGGCTGAGGTGACAAATTGCTTTAACCATTTCTCAGGGCCTGGGGTTTGTACTGACTTACAGGTTGATGGTTTGTTCATCAGAATAGAGATGTGATGTATGCTTGGGTGGACATAGTCTGTCATGACTGCAATACTGATTCGAAATTTAAACAAGAATGTGAATTCTGGTTATAATCACGCAGAAACTTTACAACCTTAGGTAAACTATTTATTCTCTGTTTTCAATGTATATCTGTCACCTTCTTGATTCACTAATTAATGATACTGTCTACAAATAGTATACAAGGAGCTGGGGAGATGGTTCAGTAGGTGAGGACTTGAGGTCAAATCCTCAGAACCCATTTAAAAGATGTGGTGTGTGTGTGTGTCTGTGTGTGTGTGTGTCTGTGTCTGTGTGTGTGTGTGTCTGTGTGTGTGTGTGTGTGTGTCTGTGTCTGTGTGTCTGTGTGTGTGTCTGTGTGTGTGTGTGCCTGCCTGTAACCCCAGCATTGGAGGCCAGAGGCAGGCAATCCCGGGAGCTCACCAGCCAGCCAGGTAGCCTAGGTAAAATAGTGAGCTTTTGGTTTAGTAGGAGACCTGTCTCATAAGGCTGAGAGCAGTAGAGAAAGACATCCAGTGTCCTCCTTGGGACCAGTGCACACACAAATGCAAACTTAAAAAATGAGTATTATATAAATTTAACCTTGGCTCTAAAGGGCCATAAGCTACCCTAGCTTTGTCAGTGTGAGGCGGGGTTCTCAGCTGTTCCTGTATAACATGACCCTCACATGGCTTTAGCATGTTCATATGCACCCCACTATAGATTCTGATTCACGTGGGGCCCCAGCTTTATTATGTCCGTGGTGTGAACTAGCCATCAGAATCTATTTATTTCTGTGCCCTTGTCTGTCTATTGCAGCTTCTCAGATGGTTCTAACAAGCACTCAAGAGTAAAACATACCGCCTAACATATGGACAAAAGATGAAATTGTGTGCTTGGCTCTTGATGTGTGAGTGTGTGTGTGTGTGTGAGTGAATGAGTGTGTGTGTGAGTGTGTGCGTGTGTGTGGTGTGTGTGTGTGTGAATGAGTGTGTGTGAGTGAATGAGTGTGTGTGTGAGTGTGTGAGTGAGTGTGTGGTGTGTGTGCGTGTGTGTGGTGTGTGTGTGTGTGTGAGTGAATGAGTGTGTGTGAGTGTGTGAGTGTGTGTGAGTGAATGAGTGTGTGTGTGAGTGAGTGAGTGTGTGTGTGAGTGTGTGAGTGTGTGTGAGTGAGTGTGTGTGGTGTGTGTGTGTGTGTGCGTGTGTGGTGTGTGTGTGGTGTGTGTGCGTGTGTGTGAGTGTGTGTGAGTGAGTGTGTGTGGTGTGTGTGCGTGTGTGTGGTGTGTGTGTGTGAGTGTGTGAGTGTGTGTGTGTGGTGTGTGTGCGTGTGTGTGTGCGTGTGTGTGGTGTGTGTGTGTGAGTGTGTGTGAGTGAGTGTGTGTGTGAGTGTGTGAGTGTGTGTGAGAGAGTGTGTGGTGTGTGTGCGTGTGTGTGTGAGTGTGTGTGGTGTGTGTGCGTGTGTGTGTGGTGTGTGAGTGTGTGTGTGAGTGAATGAGTGTGTGTGTGAGTGTGTGAGTGTGTGAGTGAATGAGTGTGTGTGTGAGTGTGTGAGTGTGTGTGAGTGAATGAGTGTGTGTGTGAGTGTGTGAGTGTGTGTGAG